ACACAATCAAATAGGATTTATTCTGGGGAATAAATAAGGATGGTTTAATATTTGATATCAATGAATGTGTATACCACATCAACAAAATGAAAGAAAAAATCATATGATCATCTGAATAGATGTAGAAAAAGCATTTGACAAAATTCAACACCTGTTCATGATAAAAAGTCAACAAAGTGGGTTTAGAGGGAAACTACCTCAACATAACAAAGGCCATATGTAACAAACTCATAGCTACATCATACTCAATGGTGAAAAACTGAGAGCTTTTCCTCTAAAATTAGGAAAAAGACAAAGATATCCACTCTTACCACTTTTATTCAACATAGTACTGGAAGTCATAGTCGTAGCAATCAGACAACAAAAAGAAATAAAAGCCATCCAAATTGGTAAGGAAGAAGTTAAACTGTCACTATTTGCAGATGACATGATACTATACATAGAAAACCCTAAAGACTCCACCAAGAAACTGTTAGAAGTAATAAATGAATAAGTTGCAGGGTGCAAAATTAATACACAGAAACCTGTTGTATTTCTATATACTGATAACAAAGTAGCAGAAAAAAAATTAAGCAAACAATTCCATTTACCATTGCACCAAAGAGAATATATTACCTAGGAATAAACTTAATCAAAGAGGTGAAAGACCTGTACTCCAAAAGCTATAAAACACTGATGAAAGAAATTAAAGATGACACAAACAAATGGAAAGACATACCATGCTCATAGAATAGAAAGATTAATATTGTTGAAGTGTCCACACTACTCAAAGCAATCTACAGATTCAATTCAATCTCTATGAAAATATCAATAATACTTTTCACAAAACTAAAACAAATAAACTTAAATTTGTATAGGACTACCAAAGACCCTAAATAGCCAAGGCAATCTTGAGAAAGAAGAATAAAGCTGGAAGTACCACAACTCCAGATTTTAAGATATATGACAGATCTATGATAATCAAAACAGTATGGTACTGTCACTAAAACAGACACCTATATCAATAGAACACAAAAGAAAGCCCAGAAATAAATCCGTGCTTATACAGCCAATTAATCTACAACAAAGGAAGCAGAAAATACTATAGGGAGAACACAGTTTCTTGAATAAATGGCTCTGGGAAAACTGGCCAGCCACATGCGAAATAATGAAACTGGATTACTTTCTTAAAGCATACACAAAAATAAATTCAAAATGGATTAAAGGCCTAGATATGATACCTGAGACCATAAATCTTCTAGAAGAAAACATAGCAGTCATTTCTTGGACATCAGTCCTAGCAACATATTATGGATACTTCTCCTCAGCCAAGAGAAATAAAAGCAAAAATAAACTACTGGGACTACACTAAAATAAAAAAGCTTTTGCACAGCAAAGGAAACCATCAATAATATGACAAGGCAATTTACTGAATGGGAGAAGATATTTGCAAATGATATATCCAATAATAGGTTAGTATCCAAATACAATGACAAAAAAGAATAATCCAATTTAAAAATGGGCAGAGGACCTGAACAAATATTTTTTCCAAAGGAGACATCCAGATGGCCAAGAGACACATGCAAAGATGCTCCACATCACTAATCATAAGGGAAATACAAAACTGCAATGATATATCATCTATACCATTCAGAATTGCTAAAATCAAAAAGACAAGAAATAACAAATGTTGGTAAAGATGTGAAGGAAAAGGAACACACGATTGGTAGGAATGTAAATTGATGCAGCCACTGTGGAAAACAGTATGGAGGCTCCTCAAAAATTAAAAATAGAAATACCAAATGATCTAGTAATTTCACTACTGGGTATTTACCAACAAAAAAACTAATTCAAAAATATATATGAACCCCTATGCTTACTGCAGTATTATTTACAATAGCCAAGATATGGAAGCAATCTCCATGTTACTGATAGATGAAGGGATAAAGAAGATGTGGTATATATAAACAATGGAATATTATTTGGCCATAAAAAAGAATGAGATCTTGCCATGTGGGACAACGTAGATTGACCTAGAGGGTATTATGCTAAGAGAAAGAAGTAATACAGAGAAAGACAAATACCATATAATTTCACTTAAATGTAGAATCTAAACAACAAAACAAACAAAAGGCAGAAACTTGCTCATAAATACAGAACACTGATGGTGGACAGAGGGGAGGGCATGGGAGAATGGGCAAAATGGATGAAGGGGAGTGGGAAGTATCGGCTTCCAGTTACGGAATGAGTGACAGGAATGAAAGGTACAGAATAGAAAATATAGTCAATGGTATTGTAATAGCGTACATGGTGACAGATGGTAGCTACACTTGTGGTGAGCACAGCATAATGTATAGAGTTGTCAAATTGCCATTGAACACCTGAAACTAATGTATCATTGTGTGTCAACTATACTTCAATCAAAAAAACAAATTAATTAAAAAAAATGGACCTGAATTCCTGCTCTGTCACATCAGTCTACATGTCATATAGAGGGGTTCTTACAGTCTTTCACCCTCAGTTTTCTCATTACAATGGGAATAAATATTATCTAATATTAAAAAAATCTATCTAAAATACAACTCTGAACAAGATGAACACAAAATGATGAAAGTTTATAGCTCTGGTAGTATCAGAGGGAAAACATTTAAGGAAAAATATCATTAGGAATAATATTTGTTTTCTAACTAATGGATTTTTAAAAATTTATTGTTACTAGATATAACTGGATTAATATTTCTCTTCTACTACTATACTATTATCCTCTTTTTTATATGCTTCTTTTCTCCTTTCCTGCCTTTTTTTTGAATTTAAAAAATCTATCCCCTTTTTCCCATTTTCATACTTTAAAAGATATGCATTCTATTTCTACTATATCAGTGGTTTCTCTGAAATATTTTTAACATGTGAATTTACCTTAATAAAGCCTAAAGTAAATTATGACCCATACTTTCTTCCTCATAATCACTACAATTTAAAACACTTAAACTCTGGTTACTCTCTCTTCAATCTTAGAATATTAGTACTATCTAGTGTTTTTATTCCACCTTGTTTTTGTATCCCATATTAGTCATGGCCATTACATGCTTTTTAAGGTTAATGGTTTTATTTTCATACTTAGTTTCTTTGCCCATCATTACTATTTCCATCTCACTCCTTTCTTCTGATTCCACTGTCCTTTGGAAGTTCTTTTGTGAAGGGTCTATTGTAGGCAAACTCCATTTTTTCCCCTCATACGTTTTGTAATTTTTATTGAAAGCTCATCTTTGGGGGGGATTAACCTGTAGGAATCCTAAAAGGCATGGTTTGAAGATGTGTCTCTTCATAGAAATGGTATTTATTTCTGCCAAATATCCCAGAGTTACCACCAAGTTGGGGGCTCTTTGCATGTTAATGTATCAAATCCAATTACAAAGGTAATAAACTTAAACTGGACCCCACAAATAATAAAATTCCAATCCATATGATATCTAGCATTTCGTTTTAAATTCTCTGTTTTTTTTTTTTTTTTTTTTTTTTTTTTTTTTTTTTTTTTTTAATCCCAGGCTAGGTACCTTAGTTTTTTCCTCATCAAATAGGTAGTTGTTGTTGTTGTTGTTGTTGTTTAATCCTGTCTGTTTAATAATGCTGGATTTCTCTCTTTCTTTTCCCTCTTTTCTGACTCTGTCTGTTCCTCTTAATCTCTCTGACTCAGTTAGGACTCCCAGCTTTGTACAAGCTTGGTAACTTTTTCTGTCCCTGCATGACCAGTAAAATCTGAATCTATTTATTATGCAAAGCAGCAACCATCTCCACTGTTCCCTTATGTAGAGCAACTATACTGAACACCTTCTTATGAGTCTGGGTTTACAAAGACTTTGGGCCTGGATATTTTCCTTACTTTCTTAAAAACCCAGGTATGTTAAAAAAAAAAAAATGTTTGTTTTAGAGAGTAGAAAAGTGGTTGTCAGAGGCTATAACTTTCAGCTATAAGATGTATAAGGTCTGAGGATTTGACATAAAACATGGTGATTTTAATTGATAACACTGTTGTATAATTGAAATTTGCTAAGAGAGTAAAACTTAAATGTTATCATCAAAAAGAAAAAAGATAAATATGTGAGGTGATGGATATGTTAATTAACTGTCTGCGGGAGGGGGATCCTTTCACTATGTATATGTACCTCAAATCACCACAATGTGTACTTAAAATATCTTGAATTTTATATGTCAGTTATAGCTCAATGAAGCTGGCATTTAAAAAAATATTTAAAGAAATATTTTTTAAAAGGTTTGTTTTATCATTTACTTATATTTTGTGTCAAGAGGACTTGCAGATTTTCTAGTCTACCGTTTTTCCAGAAATAGAAGGCAAGATGGGTTTATTGATCTTTCCTAGGATTCTTTTTTTTTTTTTAATGTTTTTTAAAATTTATTTTTGAGAGAGAGGGAGAGACAGAGTGTGAGCAGGGGAGGGGCAGAGAGAGAGAGGGAGACACAGAATCTGAAGCAGGCTCCAGGCTCTGAGCTGTCAGCGCAGAGCCCAGCGTAGGTCTCAAACTCACTAACCATGAGGTCATGACCTGAGGCAAAGTCTGCCACTTAACCGACTGAGCCACCCTGGATCCACTCGGGTGCCCTTCCTAGGAATTCTTTAACTTTAAAAAGAATCCAGTTGAGTTCAGCAAGCAATCGTTGAATGTCTTCTACGTACCATCTTCTATGTACCATCTATTTAGAAAAATCACTCATTTTGTAGCAGAAAGCCACTGTCATTCAGAAGATAAATCTGCATATCTTCTTCCCTATCCTTCTGTGACTATCAATTGTAAAGATCACATTATATCAAAGGCATCATCAGATAAGTTCCAGTGCTTTAGATAAAATTCCTCTCATCAGATAAAATTCCAGCACTTAAACCCCTGCTACTACAATATGGATTATATTATCATGATTAACAACAGCAACAAAAGGTAAGTGGAAGAGTTATATCCAAATTCACACAGTTTTCAAAATTGTGTATTTCTCTTCTTTGTGTTTAGATTTTCTTCTACCTCAGCTTAAAAGATAAAATAATCTGTAGTCACGTTTGTCACTCCTGGATGTTGATGACACAAGCAAGCTCGTTGTGGAATGGTGTAAGTAGACACTACCTGAACTATGACTTGATCCTAGTTCTTAAAGGAGAACCGATCCCCATAAAAGCCAACTGTACTAGGGACTACTTTTTCCCCTGCTCCCCCCACAGGGCCACAAACAGTAGGTGCATTTGTTTCTCTTTTGCCCAGGCACAAGGCCAAAGGAAAAGACAGAAAGATAATAATGTTATTTTAAGAGATAGATTATAAGTATTTTTTAATTTGAATGGTAGATATAAATCAAATACTATTTTTAAATTGAAACAAAGCTCCGTTAGATCTGCATTAGACTTAACATTGCCTCACTCAGGATGCTGCAGAGATAAGTTGAGGAAATGCAAGTGAAGTGCTTCCTATAAAGCCTGGCATGTAGGCAGCACTCAATAAATATCAGCCCCTATTATTGGTTTAAAAAACATAACAAAATAGCACAAAATATAGAGTAAAGGGGAAAAAAACTAACAAGAAATGGGGCTAAAATATACGACATTTAAATAAAACTTGTTTGATATTCTTAGTGTGTTTGCACGCACACAGACACATATACACTCAGGTGTTTTCTAATATAGACTTCTAGGCAGGTACCTCTATACTATCCTTGTCATTGTACTATTTTTATACTATTCTTGTAACCTAGAACATGCTTGTGTTTCTTATTCCAATGAGACACTGGGGAGGGGTCTCAGTCAACAACAAAAAATAAGCATAAATTGCCCCTGCTGACTTCTTTCTTTTCCTTGGATGATACTTTAATCTCTGTAATAATTTATGCTGTCAACTAGTGTTATGGTGGCAACATGTTCCCTGTCACCGTTAGTAGATGACTTTACCAGCCCTCCTTAACTGCTAGTGATCAGAGGACTTATAACATCATGTGCTCAGACCGACCTATGAATAGGTGGCTGGAACCATTCCACATAAATTGTAAACCTTAAACAAAGAAACTAAGAGGGGCTGACAGGTACCACTCATAAATCAAGTCAACCTCTTGACATTCCATTCTTGACTTCACTTGGCTTCCACTCTCACCTTGTGCAACAATGGCAAGAAGAAAATGTGCTTCTGTCTCGGCTAACCCATCTTAGCTACCAAATTTAATATTCCTGCCTTAGGTTTATTTTTAGTTTAAGGCAGTGATGCTCAAACTTCAGAATGCATCAGAATTATCTGAAGGGATTGTTAAAACAGATTGCTGGTTGCCAACCCAGAGTCTCTAACTCAGTAGGTCTGGGGTGGGGCTTGAGAATTAGTATTTCCAAATTCGAGGGTGATGCTGATGCTGTTGGTCCCAGGACCATACTTTGAGAATCAATGGTTTAAAGTAATAAATCTCTTTCTTATGTGACAGATTGGGGATGTTACTTTTTTCTTTGGAAAACCTGTAAAGAATTAGAAAAAAAAAAAAAGAATCCAAATGATTAGAAAGAGAAAGAATATATACGACATTAAGATCAGGACAAATCCTGCAGAAGCCTGGCAGAAAAAGCTAGCATTTCTGCCCTGGCAGAAAAAACTAGCACTTCTCAATAGGTTAAGTCAGAGAAAATCTGAGCACATGTCAGTGAAGAACAAAGCCTGGGTAGGAAGGCTTTATGTTCAGCACATTTCTCTTTCCGCAATTCTACGTTTGCCTTCATCTTCTATTCGTTTTGCCTTCATTTTGGAGTGCTCAAATGTGGCACAGCTAAAACAAACATTTTAGCACAAAGAATAGCTGTGTTCAGAAGGCAGTGAGAAATTGGAAGTTCATAAACTTAATCTTGTAGCTGAAAGACATTATTAATACTATGATATCAATGTTATTGTCAACCAGCCCTCGTCACTCAGCACTCACATAAACCTCTGTGGTCTTCAATTTTACATGCAATCAGCCAGGTACAGTCAGTCCTCTTTCCTTCTCTCCAGACCTCCCTCCTCCAAATTATGAGTTATGAAAAGGCCACTATAAATCTCTCACTCTGAATTGTCTTTTCCATAGTCAAGAACTTAACACATAGTCTGTGCTCATGAATAAAGAAGCAGGCATACCTTAATAATGAACCCAGGATGAGTTCATTGACACTGAAGCAGCCTTGGGGCTCACCTGGGGTGATGGGGGGCTATCCAGGTCACTCCAAGACAATCAACTCTGTTGTGGGGTAGATGTGAGACTCTTGTCCTCCCAGCTGTCGACCTGGACTGGACATTTGGAATCTGTTTGCAATTAAACCTGGGAATGACCATGAACAAAAAAAAAATGTGTTTGTAATTAAACTCCAGAATGACCATGAAAACAAAGAAATGAAAAAATGAGAGATGTGGTGAAGAAATGTTGCTTGGTGCTTTAAAAATATTAAAAATTTTTACATGCAAAAGATCTTTCTCACTTCTTAACGTCTTTTGTTTATCCTTTTTAGATTGATTTTTCCACAGTAAAAAACATTATCACAGATAAATATATAGTGTCTACTTTGCAAAGGTGGCGTCTAAACGTGCTGCGTTTGAATTTTCGTGGTTGTATTCTCTGCTTGAAAACCTTGAGATCTGTCAGTGAGTATGTTCATTACAACACTTTGTCTTGCTTTTATGTTTTTTAATTGAACAAATATAAAGAAAAATATAAAATAAAATGGAAACTTCAGTTATGGTCTTAGGCCATAAGGATGCCAATTAAAAACATTTAAAATGCTTATAATATAGTCAACTCTTAATGGATTGTATGATCTGGGAGTTGGTCCTTTGTCCATTCTTTTTTTTTTAAGTTTATTTATTTTGAGAGAGATGGAGGCAATTTGGAGAGAGAGAGAGAGAGAGGGAGAGAGAGAATCTCAAGCAGGCTCCATGCTGCCAACACAAGAGCCCAACATGGGGCTCGAACTCACAAAATAATGAAATCATGACCTGAACTGAAACCAAGAGTCAGACACTTAACTGACTGAGCCACCCAGGTGCTCCGGTCCTTTGTCCATTCTTACTGACCACTTTTTTTTGGTCTAGCATTTGTCTATCTATGTATATTCAATTCATCTACTAAAAAAAATACAATATAAGAATATATTATCAATTTAAAAATTCTAACAATAGACAGTAAAAAGCAAAAAACCTCCCTGTATCTCCCTCAAAACCATTAACTTACTCAAAGGTATTCAATGGTATTAGTTTTCTGTTCTTTTTTTTAAATTTTTTAAAATGTTTTTATTTTATTTTTGAGAGAGACAGAGCACAAGTGGGGGAGGGGCAGAGAGAGACGGGGCACAGAATTTGAAGCAGGCTCCAGGCTCCCAGCTGCAAGCACAGAGCCCAATGTGGGCCCACAAACCACAAGATCATGTCCTGAGCTGAAGTTGGGTGCTTAACCAACTGAACCACCCAGGCACCCCTAGTTTTCTGTTTTTCTAAAATACATTTATATATATGTGATTAAAAATACACAATTAAAGATTTTAATATGAAATGGATCATATTGTTTTATATTTTCTTTTATATCCTGAAAATCTTTCCATGTCAGTCTATATAGAACTACTAAATTATTTAAAAAAAATTTTTTTTTTCAACGTTTTTATTTATTTTTGGGACAGAGAGAGACAGAGCATGAACGGGGGAGGGGCAGAGAGAGAGGGAGACACAGAATCGGAAACAGGCTCCAGGCTCCGAGCCATCAGCCCAGAGCCTGACGCGGGGCTCGAACTCACGGACCGCGAGATCGTGACCTGGCTGAAGTCGGACGCTTAACCGACTGCGCCACCCAGGCGCCCCCTAAATTATTTTTAAATCGTTAAACTCATTTTCCATACTGTGAATGTAGCATAATTTATTTAACTTTCTTCCTCTTGATGGATATTGAGGTTATTGAGCAGCTGGCTCATTGGTCTAGGGGTATGATTCTCCGTTTGGATATTGAGGTTATTTCCAATTTTCTCCCAGCTGCTTTGTACTTTCACTATGACATGTGTATTTAATTGCCTTAGTCAGTTTGAGCTGTCATAATAAAGTCTCATAGACACCAGAAACTTATTTCCCACAGTTCTGGAAGCTGGATGTCCAAGATCAGGTCTAGAGAGGGCCCTCTTCTAGGTCATAGACGGTTGTCATCTTTTTGTGTCCTCACATGGCAGAGAGGAGGAGAGAGAGATCTCTGGGGTTCCTTGTATAAAGGCACTAATCCTATTCATGAAAGCTCTACCCTAATTATGTCCTGAAGGCCCTACCTCCTAATACCATCACGCAGGGAGCTAGGATTTCAGCATATGAATTTGGCCAAGGGGCACATTCAGTCCATTGCATTAACATATGTATTTATTTATTTTGAAAGAGAAAGAGTATGTGAGTGGGGGAGGGGCAGACAGAAAGGGAGAGCGAATACCCAGCAAACTCTGTGCTAACGGTATGAACCCACAAACTGTGAGGTTATGACCTGAGCTGAAAACAAGAGTCAGACACTCAATAACTAAGCCACTCAGGCACCCCAACCCATTTGTTTTTTAAGGTGCATTTCAGCTTCCTTATATATTTCTGGAAATGAGAGAAAAAACTTATTTAGAAAAGTGTACATTCATACTGATTTCAGATAATGAGAAAGAAAGCCATAAACATGTAAATACCAACATGGATGAGTCTAGAGATATATGAGGGAAAGCAAGTTGCAGAATGACATATGTAATCTAATACCATTTGCATACAAGTTTTCAATGTGCAAAATAATATATACTTTACCTTTTGAAATAATTTCAATAATACATATTTAAGGAAAATGTAAAAAGCATGCATGAGAAAGAAAACTCCAAATGCAAGATAGTGGTTATCTCTTGAGGTGGACAGAGTTGAATGAAATGGGGAAAAGTTTCACAAAGAGTTTCAAGTGTATCTGTAATTTTTTTTTAAATAGAAAAATAAATAAAATATGCCAAATTGGATAATTCTGACTGGTTGCTGATACTGAAAAAAGCTATAGTTTTTATGTTATTGTATTTGATTACATATTAAAGTGTCTTCTTGGTTTTAACAGTTTGTCAGTTGATTCTTTTGGGTTTTACAGGCAGATCATTTATTTCCATTCATTCCTAGTCTTATATCTTTTATTTCTCCTTTTTTTTTCTCCCAGTAGCAGGGATATGGAGCCATATTGTCTTATTCTTGACTCCTTTTTTCATATTTTTAATGAGAATAGTGTTATTATTATTATATCTTTTATTTCTGGGATACACTCTTTATAGAGATATAATGCTGTTCCTTTTTTTACAGCAGCCATGTTCTGTTTGTTCCTCATTCAGTCTGGTCATGTCTGCCTTTGGAATTTTAGGAACTGTTAATTTCTGATCCACCAATACCATTCCTGTTTTGTTTTCCAGAGATATTACAGATTTTTGGGAAAAAAATCATTTCTCAGAATTTGGGTAGGAGAGGAAAGCTGAAATATGGGCTTAGTCTGCTATCTTGAATGAATTTATTACTTTATTAGTAATAAAGAGTTAACAAAATAATTGTAAGCCTTAATGTGCTAGCCATTCAGTTTATAGCATTATCTACAATAGCCAAATTATGGAAAAACCTAAGTGTCCATCGACTGATGAATGGACAAAGAAGTAGTATGTATACAATGGAATATTACTCAACCATAAAAGAGAATGAAATCTTTCCATTTGCAACGACATGGTCGGAACCAGAGAGTACTATGCTAAGTGAAAGAAGTCACAGAAAGATAAATACCTTATGATTTCACTCATGTGGAATTCAAGAAACAAAACAAACAAGCAAAGAGAAAAAAAGAAAGAAAGAAAGAGGTACACTAAGAATAGACTCTTAACTATAGAGAACAAACTGATGGTTACCAGAGGGGAGGTAAGTGGAGGGATTGTGTTAAACAGGTGATGGGAATTAAGGAGTGAACTTGTTGTGATGAGCACTGGGCATTGCGTGGAATTGTTGAATCACTGTATTATACACCTGAATCTAATATCATGCTGTATGTTAACCGGAATTTAAATAAAACTTAAAAAGTGTGCTAGCCACCCAAACTCACTCTCTGTCTCCAGTAAAATGTACTATTAAATAAATCTCTTTTTTGAAGGAAGAAAATGGACTCAAGATGCAACATTTAAGGTTTTGCTTTGACCTAAGATTTTCATGTTGGCAATGGTGGTTGAACACTGGGGTGAGTTTCTGACAAATGGCAGGGCACATATCTCTGGAAGCTTTCATTCCAAGTCTTTTTTTTTTTTTTTTTTTAATCATAAAAGGGTGTTGAGTTTTGTCAAATGCTTTTTCACCGAGATTTTTTCTTCATTCTATTAATATGTTGCTATCACATTGATTGATTTTTATATGTTGAACCACCTTCACTTTCCTGGGACCAATCTCACTTATTCATGGTGTATAATCCTTTCACCATGCTGCTGTATTTTCTTTGTTAATACTTTGTTGAGGATTTTCACATCTATATTTAAAAGGAATATTGGCCTATAGTTTCCCTTTCTTGTGACGTCTTTGCCTGGCTTTGTTATCGGGGTAATACTGGCTTCGCAGAATGAGTTAGGAGCTATTTTCTCCTTTTCCACATCTTTGAAGAGTTTGAGAAGGATTGGTGTTAATTATTCTTTAAATGTTTGGTGGAATTTGCCACTGAAGCCATCTGGCCCTAGGTTTTTCTTTGTTGGAGGTGTTTTGATTGCTGATTTAATATCCTTATTTGTTAGAGATGTATTCAGATTTTATGTTTCTTCCTGAGTCAAGTTTGATAGCTTGTGTGTTCCTAGGAATTTGCCAATTCCTTGTAGGTAACCCAATCTGTTGAGGCATAATTGTGCATAGAATTCTCTTATAATCCTTTTTATACCTGTGAAGTAAGCAGTAATGCATCATTTTCATTTGCAATTTTAGAAATTTTCGTCTTCCCTCTTGTTTTTCTTGGTCAGTCTAGCTACAGGTTTGTTAATTTTGTTGATCATTTCAAATAACCAACTTTTAGTTCTTTTTTTGTTGTAGCAAAATATACTTAACATGAAAGTTGCCATTTTAACCATTTTAAGTGTACAGTTCTGTGCCTTCACATTGTTGTGGAACCATCATCACCATCCACCTCCTGAACTTTTCCAAGTTTTTTCTTTCAGTTGCAAAACTGAAATTCTGAACCATGAAATATGAACTCCCCATTTCTCCCTACTACCAACCCATGGCAAGCACCATTATACTTTATTTCTCTATGGATTTGGCTACCTCATATAAGTAGAATCATACAATATCTGCTCTTTTGAGCCTGGTTTCTTTCACTTAGCATCATGTCTGCAAGTTTCACCCATGTGGAGGCTCATATCTGAATCTCTCTCTTTTTTAAGAGTGAAAAATACTCCATTAGGATAAAGGACCTGAATGTGAGACAGGAAACCATCAAAACCCTAAAGGAGAAAGCAGGGAAAAACCTCTCTGACCTCAGCCGCAGCAATTTCTTACTTGAGACATCTCCAAAGGAAAGGGAATTAAAAGCAAAATGAACTATCGGAACCTCATGAAGATAAAAAGCTTCTGCACTCGCAGTAGTAATCAACAAAACAAAA